ATATTTGAAAAATAAAACGGATAAATAGTATGCTCTTTAATAATTTATTATTTTTATTTTTATCATTTCACGGGAACGACGATTCTTGTGCGTACCCACCCTCCCCATGGGTATTAGGAGGAATTGTCACCCCTATCCTCATCATTCAATGGTTACGGTTCGACTTCGATTTACAGATCATTTTTTGATACAAAATCGTAAAAATTCAATTTAAATTCCGCACATTCAAAAGGAAAAGGAATCACTAACGGAATGAATCCGGATAGTATTAACGAGAGACATTTGACAGTATAAGCTCACATTAAAAGGATGAGCAGATGAGGCTTGGAAAGAATCGAAATAATAATACAACATTTAAGTATTCATTACGTATACTTGAATGAACTTCCCCGGGCGCTCCTTAGTTGGGGTTTAACTCCTAAAGAAACATAAAACTTTTTAAGTTTCTCTTGTGAAACTTTGACACTGGGAATTCAAAGGGTTATGAAAATCTCCAAGCTTATCGTCACACGGCTGAAAGAATTTGTTTGTGCTGGGTTTATCTATTGTCTCAAAACTCTGTTTGAGCTGAAGACAAAGTTTTCTTCACCTGCAATGGTGGAGTGCAACCTTCCTGCAGCCCAACCATTGTTCAACGCACGCACGGCAGCACGGGCTGGGTCCCCTGTAACACGGCTTCCCTCAGCCTGTTTCTCAAATTCTGGAAGACCACTAGCCTTCCTCTCTTTTCTTCTCTTCCTCTCCTCATCTCTTTCCTTCCTCAGCCAGCTTTCAACTGTTCTCTATAAATCCAACAAAGAAAGAGAACTGAGACGAACAAGGAAAACAATGAAATGGCCTGAGGCATTCACAAACAATGTTGTGTTTTAAGGAAATAATTTCAGTATGGTATTTAATAAAAATAGCCACATCTAGGGACGTTCTAAACAACGATGTTCAAAATCTTGATTTCAATTTTTGAATGAGAACAAACCATAAGTGATAAATTGCTGATCTCCTTAAGCTTTTCCATTGGCATTGATAACTGCAACTTTCCGTGAGCCACATACACCTGGAACAACATGAGGACATTGAAAATGAGAGTATCGTACTAAGTCATCTACTAATTTATAATCTGTTTCATTCTCTGAAAGAAAAATAGTTCTAAGAAAGGAGCTTTTCTGAAAGAAATGTGGCCATAAGAAAGAACTGTGACGTACAACATGTGATGGCCACAGCTCTAGACCATCAAATATATGGGTTGCATAGAGAATGGTAGCACCACGCTCTTCACATTCCTTTCTAAGGAAATTCAGAAGGTCAGCCCTTCCTAACACATCAAGGTCAACTGTTATCTCATCAAGAAGAAGAACCTGGACAAGACAAGAAAAATTGAGACAAAGATTTCACCAAGGTTTAAAATCATAATTTACTGAGGTCCAGACTGCACTTTGGATACCAAATAGAAAACTGGAGATACCTTGAAAGGCTTGAGGAGACCCATACAAATTTGAA